AACTATCAGCATGTGAGGAGTCCTGGGGTGGCTCTGTGTGTTAAATCACTAGACCACAAGGTTGGTTTGAACCACAAAGTCGACCAGCCGCTCCTCAGAAACCCTATCCAGGGTCGCTGTGGACAGCACATAAGAACAGCAACAGAACTTCCTTGAAGAACTCTGCCCTCCTCCGTTTTCACCAATATGGCTGTTTGGGTTTCCTCCAGGGACTCAAATCATGGTCCTTTCCAATGTTCTTTGACTTTGAGGACCAAAAGACGTAAATGTGCAAGATCAGGACTGTAGGGTGGATGGGGTAAGGTGTCTCACAGGATAACCCTTGCTACCCTACAAGAATGAGTGTGAATTGCTAGGCACAACTTCCCTGGCCTTTTACTCATCAATGAAGTTTTCAGTTTCCTTAAAACTTCTTCCTAAGGAGCCACTGCGATTGTCTTGTGTCCTTCGAGAATATCTACCAAGATGACCCCTTTGGGATCTCCCAAATTAGTTGCCATACATAGTCTTTTCAGCTGATCTCTCTGCCTTGAATTCAGCTAGCTCAACAGATCCCCTCAGAAGTCACTGTTTTGATTGAACCTTTTAACTTATTTTTTGAAGACACCCTAAAGAGACCAAGACAAGCACACTACCGGGAGAACTTACCTGCAGCCATCCTTTGATTATAGAGACTTGTTTAAACCTATTTGGCTTGGGGAAAAGCCGAGCATGTATGTATGAACTAGAACCTTCCTAGCAATACTTTCTGATAGACCCTGAGATTTCTGCAGGACAGATTATGAACAAATGATAGGTGGACAGACAGTCATCTGAGATTCATCTTGCTCCATTGTTTCACACTTGAGTTTACTTACCTGACATGCAAATCTACAGACCCTGAGGGTGGGGGTTGTGGGAGGAATGGAGCACTACTTGGCACTGGTACTGGGAAAGGGGGGATGACGGGAGTGGTTTGGTTAGGCAAAATGCCCAGAGAGTGGGGGTACTAGGGAATGTTAGTAGGAGGTAATTCTCAGAAGAAGAAAAAAACAAAATAAAAAATGGTAGACAAAGCTGAGGACTTTAATAGAGCTCATGAGCAAAGAAAATACCAGTTAATATAATAAATTGTTGACATTAGTAAAACTAAAGGAGCCCTGATAGCATAGCGGTTATGAACTGGGCTGCTAACTGCAAGGTCAGTAGTTCAAATCAATCAGCAGCTCCACCGGAGAAAGATAAGGCTTTCTGCTCCCATAAAAAGCTACAGCCTGAGAAACCTTGTAGAGGGAGGCTCACTAAGAATCAGAACCAACTGGATGGCACACAACCACCACCACCGCTAGTAAAATTGTTAGTTGGAAGTGACAAAATTTGCTTGGAAACTTTTTAAAGTATTTAGGGGTTTGCTAAGTCACAGGAACAAAGACAAATCATTTTTGCTTTGCTGCAAATTAGGGAAGAATGAGATGTACCTGAAACCCTGAATATCAGTGACTGGCAATATGGGCGGTAAAAACTTGGGTTGGCAAGAGATGCACATCTTTCATGGTTTGGCAAGCTTCTTAGGAAGGTGCGCCATTTTGAAAATGCTGAGCAGGGCAGACTTTGCTGAAAAAGGGACATTTGTGCAGAGGCCTGAAGGAGATGAGGGAGAGAAACAGGTGAACTACAGACGAGTATTCGTTCCAAGTTCTGAGCTTGCCTGGAGTTTGGGGCAATACCAGAGATCATTGCAGCTGAAGCTAAAAGAGGGGAGATGGGAAGAAGGGAAGAATAATGGTTGGCACAGAGAGGTGCCCCATTCCTTCTCAGACAGGAAGTATGTCAGAATTGCTGTTAATGTTGCCGGAGAAGACAGAGCCCCCACATTAGTCATCTTTGGTAGCAAATTCCAGAACATATACAAGGGCGCTTCAAAAAGTCCCTAGGGAAATTCCATTCTCTTTTCATTCCATTTGTTTACAGATTTTTGAAGCTCCCTTATATGTATGGGCTCGAAACAATTTAAGACAGCATTAGACGATGAAACCTGTGAGATTTGGATGTGATAGATTGCTTATCTTTACGAGCCTCGTAAATTTTCCATCTTTGACAGACTCCCATTTTACCACTTTTCTATCACTTGTGTGTGTGGAAAATATTTGAGTTACCCTGCTGTTACACAGTGGGATGGGTAAGGTTATGTGTCAACGTGATTAGGCCTAATTGGTTTGCATATGTAAAATGATGTAGTTTGGTAGATAGAAAATGATGCAATTTGGCAGCTTGGTTGAGTAGGCATCCTCCATTTTGTGAAGAGGCCCCTCTTCCATGATGGGCTTCATGTGCTAGCCAATCAGTTGTAAGGGGCGTTTCCTTAGGGGTGTGGCCTGTATCCAATTGGTCATCATCACAGCCGGTGGCAAGCCTTGTTGCTTATCTAGGATCGGTCAGTTTCCACAGCCTCAGCCTGCTGCAGCCTCGACTGTCTTGTTGATTTTGGACTGATCTAAAACTCTAGTATCCAGACAAACTTTCAGCTTGATGTTGTACACACAGACTTGGGATTTGCCAGACTCTACCAGCACGTGAGTCATTTCCTTGAGATAAATCTTAAGTGTATACATTCGAGGAGACTTCAGAAAAGTTATGGAAAAGTTGCATTATCTTTTAATTTCATTATTTTTTCCATGAAATTTTTGAAACCCTAAGACATTTCGTACTGAGAGTGGTTCTAGAGAAACTAAATCGTAAGGATGTTTCCTAAATGAGTCCTTGAGTCTGACTTGTCTTAATGTTGCTGGGTCAAGAAAGAGGGCAATGCTAACCCCTGGCTGCAAGGCAAAGTGGTATCACTAGTGGGTCAGTGTTGGTGAGAAGCTAGGCTCTGGCAAATGCATGTGTGACGCTTTTCTATAATTATGACAGAATAAGAAGTATAGGGAAGGTGGTTGGTTGGACCTACTTAACACTAGGCAAAGTGGTTAAAGAAAGAGATGAGCTCAAGCATTGAATAAAAGACTGCCAAGTTGCCTCTGTGTTCCGAAACAAAGCCTTTAAAGACCAGTGGATCCCAGCTTTGCAGCTTTTATAGTAGAAGGGGATGTGCTGTTGACAGTGGTTATTTCCCCACCTGAAGTTACAGATGGGTTCACCTTTGCTTTGCACTGTCTTCTATTTCTCCCATTTCCCACCGTCAGCATGGATTGTTTACAATTTTAAATAAATGTCAACAGTGACACAGCATTTTGCCCTCTGAAGGCAAAATCATGGAAGGGCCTAAAATGCTTGGGGACGTGATTACTAGACGTCATAGAGCAGAAGGGCTCTCAGAGTTCTGTGAAACCGTTAGGAAACTCGGCGAGGACACACCTCCAGTCTCAGGACGCCAGCTCTGGCTCCTTTCCCGGTGTCAAAGGAAGAACATGTGGAGCATCCCCGTGCTGGGGACAGAAAAACGGCCACTGACCTTAGGAAGCTCAGCTGTCTTAAGAAAGAACTATAAAGAATCAAAACCAAACAAAACAAAACAAAAACAGCCACGGAGTCGATTGCGACTCATAACTACCCCGTAGGACAGGATACAGACTGTTCCGTAGCGTTTCTGAGACAATTTCTACAGCAGCAGAGAAATCTGGTGGAGTCGAACCATCGATCTTAGGGTTTGCAGCCAATGCTTAACTCACTGTGCCACCCCGGCTCCCATCTAAAGGATAAGCATTTTCGTTCATTACAAAATGTGCCGAACTTGGGGCCAGGCATTCTGCTGGGATTGAGAACAGGGCTTGGAAAGTTGGCAGTGGGCGGGTACCCAGGTCACATGCCTTGGTGGAGCCTTGGTGAAGCCCAGGGATTCAGGGACTGCCATATAAGTGCAGGCGAGCCAGGGAGGGGGAACCAGGGTGCTTAGCGTGTACCAAATAAGCAGGGGGAAACGGGGACTACCTCGGCCCTCACAGGACTGGTCCGAGGATTTTAAACTCCACTTTTATTTTATTTGGTTCTACTCTCCATTTAAATTCTTCAAAAGGTCAGCTGAGAGGAAACGAGGAAGTCAAACAGAAGGCAGTGGAGGGGCGGGGTGTGCAAAGTGTGAGTTGGTACAATTTCTTTCTTGGGGCCATGTTTTTTGTTTTTTTTTTATTGAGCTGTTTTCAGGTCAAAAATGTTTCCTAACGGTTTGTTTGCGGTCCCAAATGTGACTCCTAGCCTAACTGGCTCCTAAGGCCTGGCTTACCTGTGAGTACCCCATGTGCCCTGGGAACCCGTTTCATGCTGTACGGCCCCTGAATCCATTAAACGCACGCCAGACCAGACCAAATACGTTCCTGCTGGGAAATGCTCTATATGGCTGTGAGGGTTAAAATTTCCCTTCATAGCAGACTGACAACGCAGACACAAAACCCTACCTTTGTGGCAAGCATGGTTGGCCCGATGAATCGCTTCCGCAAGGCAGCGCCAGGGCCCAATGTCCCCATGGGAGGAAGCCATCACAATAAAACAATGGCCTGTCCTATTTAACCTGTGGCCAAGATTGGCAAGGACACTGGGGTTCTGATTCTGCAGGCGTTCCAAGCCTCTGGGAGGAGCATGGAGGGTGGGAACTGTGCGCAGTCCCAAACTGAAAAGTTGGAGGTTCCTGCCCACCCGGAGGCGCCCCGATTCACTCCTGAAAAATCAGCCATGGAAACCAGTTTCATGTGGGACACAGGGGGTCACCATGTCAGAGTCGACTCCATGGCAACTAGTATACCTAAGAAATTAAAGGAAACTCACTGCCACCGAGGTGATTCCAGGTTATCACGACCCTGTAGGACAGAGCATAACGGCTCCAGAGCATTTCCTAGGCTGTCATCTTTACGGAAGCATACTGCCATAGCTTTCTTCCCGTGGAGCAGCTGGTGGGTTTGAACCACCGACCTGGTTAGCAGCCCAATGCTGACCCCACTGAACTCAGCCCAGGGAGACAGCTGCTGAGTTGGAGGGAGGGGAAGCTGGGTACTCATGGGGTGCCTCCCCTCAGGTGCGTGGAAAGAATGGCCATCCCAAAGCCTCGGTGGGTCAGCCACCTGCCGTTCCTGGGCACCATGGGCCTAGCGGTGGCAGTCATCAGCCTGCTCTTCTACGCGCTGCTCTGGAAGGCCGGCAACATCCTGGAGCTGCCCGACCTGCGCATCGGCTTCTACAACTTATGCCTGTGGAACGACAGTCTCGGTCATCTGCAGTGCCCGCAGCCCCCTGAACTGGCCGCCCTGGGCGTGTCGTGGGCTGGCCTGGCCCTGGCCCGGCTGGGCGTCTATGGGGCCCTGGTCCTCACCCTCTTCGTCCCCATGCCCCTCCTCCTGGCCCGGTGCAAGGGGGAAGTGGGCGAGTGGCAGCTGGCTGTGGGCTTCGTGGCGGCCTCCTCAGTGCTGCTGGCCAGTGGCATGGGCCTCTTCCTCACCTCCATGTGGAGATGGCTCCAGATGGACCTGCTGGGGCCAGGCTTTCTGGCTCTGTGCTCGGCCCAGGTCTTGCTGCTTCTCCTGCTTACGGCCATGGTGGCCTTCCCTCAGTGGGCAAGGAAGGACGAGCCAGGTGGAGAGCTGCTAGTCCTGTCGTGCTCACGCCACTAACTGCAGGGTGAGTGTTGTCTCAGCCTCGCATCCCCAAGGTGCCAGAGAAGGCACAGGCTGCTCAGTCATCTGGTCCCTCAAGCATCAGCAAGGGAACCCACCGTGGAGGGGCGGCGGGGTGGGGGTCCACAAGACCTTGGCCATGACTGCAAAAGACCATGATGGCAGGGCGTCCTTCAGGCCCTCCAGGCCCTCAAAAAACCCCACATGCTCATTGTCACACGTGAATATCTGCTTTAATTAACCTGAACAAACCTTCCCTTCTGTATTCTCAGGAGGGTCTCCTGTCATGGGAACTAATCTCCGTTCTGACTCACCGACAAAGCGAAACCAAAGAGTCACCAGACGGTGCACCTGTGTCCCTCGGAATCCGAGGAACTGGCTGCTCCCCTCCCCGCTGCGGCCTCCTCACTTCAGCTGCTCCCTGTCCAGTGTCCCCACCTGAACTGGGCCGGTGGGCCCAGGCCTGACCTCTGCTGATTCACCCTCCACCAGCACATGGGGGCAGCAGAGCACCCCCCTTGGGGCCCTGGGGGGGTAGGGGTGGTTGTGGCTGATGCCTTCCCTCAGCTGACCTGGGAGAACAGGTAAGGGCGCAGCGCTACAGACCAGCGTTGTGTCCCAGGAGCGGGACCTCAGCCCAGCCATGGCTCATGTTATGTGTCTTCTCGGCCAGGCCGGACTCTCAGTGTTATGTAACTACCCAGGTAATCTCCATGGTGTCAGCCCTTCCTGCCCTGGGGGCTGTGGCCTGCACCCACTACGTGTGGTAGTTCAGGAAAAATTCACTGCTCGGCCTCCGGTCCTATGACGTCACCAGCCTATGGCCTGCCCCACCCATTTTGGCTGTAGCCGTAGCCACGTGTCAGGAAGAGCTCCGGGCATGACTCACAGATCAGATCGGCAACTTGCCACCCGCACAACCACAAGTCATTGACAAGAAATAAATATATATTTGTACATACTTTCCTGGCTGGTTTTGCGCCTCTAGAGAATCTAGCCTAAACCCAGAGGGGTTCAGGTGCAGTGAGTTCCTGTGCTGGAGGCAGCATGAGGGAGGCACGTGATCCCTGCCCCTCAGAGCCACACAGCACCTCAAGGCCGAAGTCCGGGCACCTGCATCATCTCGCGGCCTCAGTGTTACCTTTGTTCTGCTCTTGTTTTGGACCCAGAATTGTGCTCACCCCACCAGATGGGGAGACCTACGTGATGTCAATCTCCTAAGTGGGCGCCACAGGCCGGGACAGGATGGTGGGCAGGGTTTGTCTGGAGGAGGCGGGGCTCACTGATACAGATCTCCCTGTAGGAAGGGCCTATGATTCTCATTGAAAACAGTTAACTCTTTGGTTCATATTTCCCGGCCCCGAAAACAGACTAAAACAGATGGGGGTCGCCAAGGCCTGTGGCTGGGAGAGGTGCTGCTCCTCACTGCCACACACCCAGGAAGGCAGCTGCCAGGGCTTCTCTCCGTCCCAGGAGGCAGGAGGCCCAGGGCAAACAGCCTGCCAACAGACAGTCCCACACCGTGTCCCTCAGTTGAAAAAGATCTCTCGGACATATTTCAAGGCATCCTCCTCTTCCTCCTGACTTTGGCTGCAGACAGGGTCGGCCCTCCCCAGCCCCTGGGAAGGGCCATGGCTGACGGGCAGGGCGTCCTCTCCATTGTCGTCCACATCACTTTGGCCCCCAGGAGACCATGGTGACCTCGAGTGGTTGGGGGAGAGCTCCAGCTTATCAGAGCCAGCCAGGACCTGCTGCTCCCAGAGCTCTTCCTGTTTGTGGCCCTGCAGACGGCACATGCTTTCCTTTACTGCTGTTGTTTGGGTACCAAGGGCCCAGGAACCTCAGTAACACCACAGGCCACCCCCCTCTCCCCGCCCCCAGAGAGTCACCCAGGCAAGGAGGGCACATTCTCCCTGATTCCTCCTCCATAGAGGGGGTGGGTAGGAGCTGCAGAGGGGACAGGCGGGTAATGGGAGGAGAGGAGCTGGGCGTCTCCAAGGTTCACAGCCACCGGGCCTGGTCTCCGCCCATGCTGTTTCTAGCCCTGGCCTTTGAAAGAGACCTGGGCTCTCTCATTCTAATCAGTTATATCCCCATGAGCTCACCTTTCAACTGAATAAAAATATGGGGGTTCCCAACTCTCAGAACTGCGGGGTGCAGGGGAAGGCAAGGGGGTAAGAAATCCACAGTGGACTTCACCTCAATCAGGATTCCCAGGGCAACATCGACAAGTTCCGCTTCATTCAGGCAGTACACGGTCCTCGTGGCAGGAAGTCTGGAACAGGACTTGGGTGTCACTGATGGCAAAAAGGAGGCTGGTGGCCTGGGCTTCCCAGGGATGAGAGCTGGGCACCCCTGACCTGAGCTACCTCCTTGTGCCACCCAGTGACTGTGTAGAGTCCCTGCAGACCCCAGTAAGGGGCTTTCCAACGGCCTCCCACTCCCAATCTGGACACGGGGACCCATGGCAGCTCCTAAGGGTCAAACCGGGTAGCACATATAATGACCTCAGATCACATAGACCAGCACGCTAAGATGTGACCAACTCAAGTCATGATTGTGTTTAAAGGAAGCCAACAACTATCAGAAAGGGAGGGCGGTGTGATAGTTACGGTTCTGTGTCACCTTGGCTGGGCCTGGATGCTTCAAGATTTGGCAGTTAAGTCATTGGGCACCCCCAATGATGAGATCTAAAATATGATGTAACTGCCCCATGATAGAATCTTATGTGATCAGGCCTGCTCTGATGTAATTAACCTGTGTGTTGTATTTTGTGTCAATCTCTTTTGAGACATAAAAGGAGAGAGAAGTCAGCAGAGACAAGAGGGACCTACTGCCACCAAGAAAGAAGAGGCAGGAGTGGAATGTGTCCTTTGGACCTGGGGTCCGTGCGCTGGGAAGCTCCTAGATCCAGGGGAAGACTGATGCCTAGACACTTAGAGATCTCCAAGGAATTGGAGCCCCTCTCCCGACCCCACTCTCTGGAAGATGCCAAACCTTGCAGCTGATGCTGTCCTGGCCACGGCTGTTCTCCTCCTCTTGGGGGACTTTGTGGGCCTCACACTCTCAGTCACCTGGGCTGTCATCCACGCAGGTAGGACCCTATTCTTATTCCCAGATGCTGCGATTTCCATCTCTCCAGTCTTGCAGGGCCTAGGCCTAAATAACTTGCTTTCTGTTATAGGACAGCAAATCCTACTGGTGTCACCAGGAAGGACAGGTCTGTTGTCCTGAATGGAATCCAGTTCTTACTGCCTAATGAGAAGAACAAACCCAGTGAACTCTAGTCAGAGTACTTCCAGCCATCAGTTACGGGGGGGGGGGGGGGGGGGGGGGGGGGGGGGGGCAGGAGACTCCAGCAGCCATGGGCTGGGAGACAATGGGCCTCTTGCACCTTGTTCTCAATGATATACCCTCCAATGGCCCAACCAGAAGTCACAGCACTGAGCCACGGACCACATGGCAAGCACCTTCAAAGAGAAAGGAAGGAGGTAGAATCATCAAATGTCTCCCCTCCTCTGCCACCCAGATTTTCAATCCTTAGGGTGCCCCACTGATCCTACTCCAAGAGAGCTCTGTGATCGCTTCCTTTCTGACTCCCAGCTTCTCTTCTCCTCCCTTTGGTTATAAGAAACCTTCAGGCTACCATGAAGAGAAGCAGCTGAGGTCGGCAGGCAGACTTGCAGAATGTGCCCTTTGGTGGTTTACATTATTATTTATGCCTGAGTGTTTAAAAAAAAAAAGCTAAAATGAATAGAGAGAAATACTGTTGACTGATGGTGCATGAAGCGGATTATAATCATTGTTATGAAACAAACTATATGATTTGTTGAATGTAAAACTGATGATGTGTCCTGTAAACTTTCACTCAATTCACAATAAAAAATTTTTAATTAAAAAAAAAAATACAACTTTCAGGCTATACTGAGTCACAGGTCTCATTGGACAACACCCCCTCTCTTAACCCAAAGAGACTTGTGATTAGTCAAATGCCAACCCATAGTGGGATCAAAACTGTCCACGTGAATGAACTCCAGAACTTACTTGGCCTCCATTTTTCTGAACCCCCCCCCCCAGCCCCCTTTCTCCTAAAGCTTAGCCCCAATCCTAGGAGGGGCTGTGGTCTCAAAGGGCCCAGGACTCTTCTTTCTTTTCATGCAGGAAGGCACTTAGGGCTTCCGCCTAGGGAGGATCTTACTGGAGTGAGTTTTACCTACAAAAGGGAAGTCAGAGGGTGATAGCTGTCATTTATTGCTCATCCAAAATGCATGCTTACAATCCTTTTTTTTTTTAACTGACAGGACATCATGATCACATTAGATCTTTACCAGCCCACCTTCATTTCTGTCAAGATCAGGGGGTGATGGTGACACAAGGGAGAAGGGGGGGCTCAGAAATCAAGATGAAACATGAGCCACCTATTGACTGAAATCTTGTGAACAAAGTCTTGAGGAAAGTTGAAGCCTGCCCACCCTTGTTTGTTGTTGTTAAGTGCTGTCGAGTGGATTCTGACCCATAGCAACCCTGTATAGGGTTTCCAAGGAGCAGCTGGTGAGCTTGAACCACCGACCTTGCAGTTCAAACAGCTTTGTATTCTGACACATTAGCCCACAGCGCCACACCAGCCCCCTTGCTTAGACAACTGTTAAAGATGCACAGGGCGTACCCAAGGCGCATAGCTGAGCATCCACTACCTGGGGCATTAAGGACAATGTAGTGGTTACGAAACTACCAGCTGCTCTGCGGGAGAAAGATGAGGCTTTCTGATCCCATATAGATTTAGTCTCAGAAACGCAGTACAGGGTTGCTAATAGTCAGACCCGACTCCACAGCACATAACAACAGTGGTTACGAATCAGGCTGCGAACCTTAAGGTCAGCAGTTCGAAACTACCAGCTGTTCGGCTGGGAAAAAGATGAGGCGTTCTGCTCCCGTAAAGATTTACAGCTTCAGAAACCCTGTGCAGGGTCACTATGAGTTGGAACAGACTTCAAGGCACACCACCACCACCATCTGTGTTTTTCCTTCCTTTTGAGCTATTTTACAGGTAAGACTGGTTTACTCAGTGCCCTTGGGGATGGTGATGTTAAGTGCTGTCACGTTGGTCCCAACTCCTACCCATCCCGTATAAGGTTTCCAAGGAGCGGCTGGTGGCTTTGAACTGCTGTCCTTGATGTCTGAACCAACCTTGCAGCCCAGTGCGTTATTCTGTAGTGTCGCACCAGGACTTCAGTGCCATTGCCATAACTTTAAAGGACAAAACTTCGCCTGGGGCAGAGGAGAACATCAGCCCCTGGGAAGGTTTGAATGGAAGTACTGAAGAACCAGGCATGTGTAACATCCCACTACCAGAGGCCTTTGCAGTGGAATCCATCTTGCAGAAATGTTGCGAATGTAGCCAATTAGCATAACTCTCCTAAGCAGGCCATTTCCCAGAAATCCCAGCCTATTCCTAGGAATAAACATGTCTCCTCTTCCCTAAGTATTGCATTAAAAGCTCCAGCCTCCACTTGCTGGTTTGGAAACCCTGCCTCCTCTGACTGTTCTTCCTTAGTAGAAGGTAAGATCTCATGTGTCCAAGGGCGCAGGTGCAGCCAGCACTTCCCATAACCACCCGCAGTAGTCATGCCTACACTGCTGAGTGCTCCACGCGCCAGGGTGGTTAGAACGCAGTTGGCCAGGATTTGCAGCTGCGCCCCCCCAAAGCCTCGGGGGTGTCAACTTCGAGGAGCGCATTATCTGGAGTTCAGGACGCACAGAAATTGGAGCCTGCCGGACGCCTGCGCGAATGCGCTCTGGATCCCCTCGCTATCCGGATGAAGCTGAGCCCTGTGAGGCGCAAGGAGCTCAGAATCCCCAATTCGTGCCCAATGCTCTTTCCTGGGGGCGCCCTCCCACGCCTGCTTGCAGAGAGGCCCCGGGAGACGGGTGAACACCCCCGAGCCTCTCCACACCTCCCACACTGCAGCTGTCCAAGAAAACACCTGGTCTGCCACTCCGACCAACACGAAGGAGGTGGTGACGCTGCGCCCCAGCGCTCCGAGCAAGGATTCATCCCTAGCCCCTCACTCCCGACAGGCACACCAGGGCTCGCAGCCCGCTCTAGTCCCTAACTCACATTTCCTACCTCTGAAGCGTCCTCGATCGTGCACTTCCGGTTCCGGCGTATTCCGACACGCACTTCCGGCTCCGGCGCCTCCCGAGCCTCCAGCGCCAGCAGAGCCTGGTATTTTCTGCGTTCCCGGCCCCGCCGCAGCTCCTGGGCGCCCTCTGCGGGCAGCCTGGGTTCAGCGCTCAAAGAGACTGGAGAGAGCCTGGTTTGCCAGTCGCGGGTCGGTCTTTGTTAAGTGTCCGGATAGAACCTAGATGTAGAAAGCAAGGTCAGCGCTCCCCGAGCCGCCGGGCACAGACAGAGAAGGGCACTCATCAGTCTGCCGGTTCCCTTGGGGGGTGTGAAGGCGAGACCGCGGAGTAGCGCGCAGTCTCAGCAAATGGGCGACCGCTCCCCGCTAGTCCTGCCCGCTCTCGGACGGAGCCATAGGGGAACCTGCCTTGTGCGGGCTGCCCCCAAGGGCGAATCAGACAGCCACTTGCTACGTGGATGTGCAGCCGATCGGCAATAACAATTCCTATCCACCGATCAAAGTAGCGAAGACCCCCTGCGCCGGCCCAGCTCCCCGTCTCCGGGGTGCCTACGGTTGGCCACAGCACCCCCCTCTGGAGTGGGACTCCTCAGCCCCCAGGCAGCCGGCTGCCCAGGCAATTCCCACCTCAAAGCTTAAACCCACCAAGTAAATAATGAGGCCAGGTCCCAAATCCGCCTGCCACCTGTGGTGGGAAGAGCTGTGACACGAACTGCATGCAGCCCCTTCGGGAGGATGCCCACGTGCAGCTGCTGCTCTGCCAAGGGACGCTGGGTCCTCCGTTCTGACCGCGTGGCCACCACAAACCCGCCTCCCTGGGGCCGGGGTGGAGCTGCAGCATTTCCTTTTGTACACGACCAGAAAGGACTTGCTATCTGCAGAGCCAGACCCATCCAATTTCCGCTCCTAAACCTCTCCCCATTCGGACTGCAGAGACCTGAGGAAACCCGGGTTTGGACAAGACTTCCCATTCTTCTCAGGGAGGAGAACCCCAAGTAGGGAGAAACCACCAAATAAAGTGATTTGGATGGTTGGGTGGGAGGGGGCGTTCTAAATGGCTTCACCCTGTCTTCAATCCACCCTGTATAGGGTTTAAGAAGTTATAAATCTTTATGGCAAAAAACCTCATCTTTCTCCTAAGAGTGACTGGTGGGTTTGAACTTCAGACCTTATAGTTAGCCGCCCAGTGCTTATGCTTATCATACAGCACCACCAGGCGTCTGCTGGTGCTGTACTGTGGAGTAAGTTCCGACTCATAGCGACCCTGTACAGGGTTTGAGGTTGTAAATCTTTATGGGAGCAGAAAACTTCCATCTTTCTCCCACAGAACAGCTGGTAGTTTCTAAATACTGACCTTGAGGTTAGCAGCCTGATTGGTAACCACTATGCTACCAGAGCTCCTTAGGGCTTTGCTAGGGCACTGAGCATCAGTACCCAGCATCAGCCATCCGAGCAGGGACCAATGCGGGGAGGTGGTCTGCAGGCCTGGGAGACTGGGCCATTCACGGGCTCCTGGGTCATGTTTGAGACCTAGTAAAGACTATACAGTCCTGGTGTGGCCTGCTGATGGTAAGACTGGCAGTTCAAACCCACCAAGTGTTCCTCAGAAACCCTATTCAGGGTCACAACCAACCTGATCACATGTAACAAGACAAGGAACCCTGATAGCACCGTGGTTAAAGCACCCAAATGCTAATCAAAAACTCAACAGTTCAAACTCATAAGGAGCTAGCTCTGTTTTTAAAGATGAAGCAGTCTGCTTCCATAAATCAGTAGCTTGGTAGTTCAAACCCACCAGCCACTCCAATGGAGAGTATTTTAAGTCGGCTTGCATAACGATGATTGCCTTGGAAACCCCCGGGGGCAGTTCTATTGTGTTTTACAGGGTTGCTGAGTCTGAACTGCCTCACAGGAGTGGGTGTGGTAGACAGGGAGTCACTGGACTGTGCAAATGGCTACCACACTTGGCTGCTAACCCAGAGGTTAGAGGT